GGAGGGGAGAGAAGCTGCACAGCCCCCTGACCCACAACAGACAGCACGGGGGAACAGAAGAGTGACAATAACGGGCATTCTATTTTTCTCAGCAGAGCAGCTAAGAGCAGACAGATCGATGTGCGAAGAGGAGACGAGAGCGCCACCTTCTGGCCGAAAGAGGAAATTCCATCATTCAGGTGAAATCTTCCCATTTAAAAAGGAGAAATGCTCAGGTCGGGTGGCATTAAAAGGGACGGTAAAGGCAAAATGTTATCGTTTTGGTTGGAGAGGGGGAGGGGTTAGACCCTCTCAAGGTTTTTTTCCTCCCATTGGGGATAATTAGTCTCTAGGGGGGGGGGAATTTATCAAAAGTGGAGCAGACAGAATTTGGTGCAGTTGCTCGTGGCAACCAAACAGCTTTCTCCCTCCAGTTTGCTCCGGTAAGATTTGAATATGAGAGAGAGAAGCCGATTGGTTACCGTACACAGCTGCTCCAGATTTTGATACATTCTACCCTATGCGTATTGGCGACAACTGACACAGACGGGTGAGGAAACCGAGATCTCGAAGTTGTCACCAGAGCCAGTAGTGAAGAGAAATCCTCCGATGGGGACAGCTAAGATGACTTCTCTGACCTTGTAAATATTTCCATTCACTTCCTGTTGTGTCACTGGGAAAGGAAGTGAAGGCAATATACAGACTTTCCCATTCCTTCACATACACTTTCAGGTCAGGAGGAAGGACACGGTAAGTGTGACGCCGGCCACAAACTATACAATCTGGTTGTACAATCTCCATACAATTTGTATACAATGGTCCAGGCCCTCACACTACATTGCTGGCAGATCTAAAGACAATTGTTCAGTCAGATTGCACAGCGTGTGGTCGGTTTTTGGGATAGGTGATACTATGGGGGATGGGGATGGGGGGGGTGGTACGGGAGCTTCAATCACATTTTGGTCTCTTCCGGCACCAGGTTTCCTGAGGGACGTTTGTCGGCTCCCATTGCTGATCTCACCCTGAAGATGCTAGTTGCCTGGCTGTCTCTGGATTGGACCCGGAACCGGCATTCAGCAGTCAGAGAATACGTCTAAAGTTCTGTCAGATCTGAAGCCGCTGGATCAGCATGACGGGTCCCACCACACTGGTGACTCCGTCTCTTTAAAGGACTAGTTGCCCAGCACCCCATCAGTCCCAATGCTTTGCTAATGAGGACACAGCCAGGCGGGGGTTAAATAT